GCCTTAGATCGATAGAAAATTATATTCTGAACAAAATAAGACATCCGCTAGCCTACCCAGGTTTTGATCTTGAGAAATCTTCGAAATACACAAAAATTTCTTTTCATAAAAATTTTCGAATTTGATATTTTAGTTTCCTGCCTATTTCTGCTGACCAGAAAGTACTAGAAGATTCGAAGATGTCTTATTTTGTTCAGAATTTGATTTTCTATCGATCTAAGGTACTTTCAAAAAGACTCGTTTCTGAGGTGGGTTTTCTGGAAACGCGGTCTCTAGAAAACCTCTTGGAAGGTTTTCAACTTTTCAAGAATGTTTTCATCAGATTTGCCATCGCATTGTACCTAGAAGCGCACAATTTCATACATTTCTGATGAAAAATGATTGAGTTATTGAGAAATCAGACGAGCGATTTCACGCAAAATTGGCCTATCTTCAATAAAAGTCAAATATCTCGAGATCGAAAAGGACTTTCAAAAACGTGCACGTATACTTTTGAAGAGGAACAACCAACGGATGGAGCATGCAAAAATATTGGCTTTAGCACCTCTGAAAGAGCCTGAGATAGGTTTGCAAAAGCGAGATTTTTGAGCCTTATCTGTTTCGGGCGCTGTCAAAAACCCACTTTTCAGTCTGAAACCTCGGGACTTACTTTTCTAGATTCAGCTTTCAACGCTGAATCTAAAACGTTTTAGCGCGAACGTCGAAACCAAAACGTGAAAAAGCTACGGCTGTTTTTCTGAAGTTTCGGACACCTTTGGAATTTTTTCAATTTTTCGTCCTGAAAAACTTCTTTCAAAACATCGGAGCACTTATATTCGTGATCAGCGTCGAATTCTCTATCGAACTGTGTATTAAACAGGCACTTCTATTTTTTACTGTAACCTTGCATGCCGTGCATCTTACAGCTATATAACCATAATATTTCGCTTCTTATATAAATAATATTTATACCTGAGCGACATTCTCTACAAGATGGCTACTGAAGAAGATCAGGTAAGTATGCATCATTTCATGACAGCTGTTTACTTACTGTAAATTGTTTTAGACAGACATTAAAGTTGATAAATTGACATTAGAAGATGTAATTCAGTCCTGTGGTGAGTTCAATCGTTTCCAGTATATAAATTATTTCTTCCTTAACTTTATACCAGTAGTAAGTGGAATGATCACCTATTACTATGTATACGGTGTGGCTGACATACATTATCAGTGTCGTCAATCATCAGTGGACAATAGTACCCAAAATCCAGATCAGTGTCAATGTCCTCTGAAACAATGGACTTACGATCGATCAATATTTGGCCATACATTTACAGAAGATGGAAATTTTATATGTAGTCGACGTTTTTTGAAATCATGGGTGGCTACTGTTTATCAAATAGGTGGTATAACTGTACTTATCACTGGACGATTTAGTGATAAAATTGGACGACGGAAAATGATACAAATATTAACTATCGGTTTATTATTGACAACATCAGTAACTCAACTCGTCATGCAGTTTGCACCACTCAACTTTAATGTGATGTAGGTATTTAATTTCAGCACCTAGCTAGACAACTATCGATTCGGTCTTTAAGGAACTGAAGTGGACCAGGCTTTGAAGGCAGACAGGTGAACCATTATCAAGTACGACGATGCATCTCGAACTCTCTATTCTTTAGTTCGTTGATATTTATAAATGTTTTCTTCTTTTTCTTGAGCGGTTCTGATACTTGCTTTGAACACGTGGATTTTGTTTCACACAAAGTGATGTTTTTTTCAGCTGATCGAAAGACAATGGACGAGGTGTGCATCAACTTTCAGTGTTTACTCGTCTCTAATGCAAAAAGTATCTCAACAACTTTTTTATGATAATTAGAAAAAAGTCAAAACTCATGTTTTTGAAACATCTATAGAATTAGGTTTATCAATGATCTCTGCCCGATTTCGATTGCTCCATCTATTCGGCTAGTAAAAACTTGCTCAACTATCAGAGAAAAAGTCAACGGGTTCAATTCTGGTTAAACTCTGCCTTCTCTGCTTCAGACTATGCTCACCTTAAACAGATATTTCTGTTACTGTTCTTGTATTTTGTGTAGATTTGGACTTTTATTGTTAAATCAATTTCTGTCAGCTATCGATACGTTTTCACTAGTCTTTCTCCTTCTTATGGAATTAACAACCTCCAGACATACATCCTTGGCTGGTAATTTAGCCATGGTATCATTTAGCGTTGGAGAAATGGTAGTAACTTTATTTGCTTATGTATCTCGACATTGGTTACTATTGAAATGGTTAATAACATCACTAATTGCTTTGAGTATACCATATCTCTATTTTGTACCCGAATCACCATATTGGCTTTATTCGAACCACATATACATTCAACTAGAACATCAATTACGTCGTATAGCACAAATGAATCATCGACCAGAATTAGTATGGTTTAATCAATATCAAAAACTGATTGCAAAACCAAGACCGTTAATAACCATTCGTACTGTTACTAAACGATCGATACTAAAGTATTTACCAAAAATATTTTTGAGTTGCTTCATTGGGGTATTAGCCATGGCATTGTATATTAAAATTAGTTATGGTCTAAGTGCAATGGATTCAATAAATCCGTATGTGAATATTGTTATTGGTGCGATTGTTGAATCCATTGGGTATATTTCGTCAAGTATCATGATTACTACCGTAGCTGGAAGAAAATATTCATTAATTCTGTACACACTCATCACGGCTATATGTGTAGTCATTTTACCGTTTCTTTCATTAAAACATTCGTCATTATTGACAGTTATGCTTATTATTGTAGCCCAACTAGGTAAATTGACTATTAGTGGTGCCTTATCAATATCTTGGATCTATGTACCTGAATTATTTCCAGTTGGTATTCGGGCGACGGTTAATGGATTGTTTGTCTTTTTTACTCGATTTGGGGCAATTGCTGCCCCTATCATTGATACATCACTTTCTGAGAAATATTTATCAATTACCACTTATATTTATGCCGCGTTAGCAATATTAATGATCTTGTTGATATTTGTCTTTTTACCGGAGACAAGAAATCGTTCATTCGAAGATGATTTTCCAATAAAAAGGTCTTCAATGACACCCGTCAGTGTGCAACAGACAACGGAATATGACATATGTAGCTAGACACTTTCGTCTTTCTCAATGCGGTATGATAACGAAGCTGCTATAACAGGTTCATAACCGTTTTCTTTGTAAATGTTTTCGTCTTTTTGTGACACTTTTAGAAAATTTTGAAAAATACTAACATTTTCTCATCACTCTCCATAGTTTCTTGAATAATCAAAAACTGGTAATTAATGAACGCATCGATTTCTATTGATTTCCTAATCATAAATAGCGATCTAAAATTTTGAGCTTTTTTCCCCAAATATATCTTCTTGTAAAAACGAATGCTAACGTTATTGGATCAAAAACGACAAATCAGATTCCCTTTTAGCAACTGCATGAAAATATCAGTCGAAAAATACAGAGTGTATGATGGAACAGTCATACTCAAAAAAGTGTTCATCAACTTCGGCAATAATCTACTATCTATTCTAAAATACAAGACAGGCGGTTGCTTCTTGAATAACTCCGGAATAGAAGCAGGTAGAGACTTGCGGTTTTCCGTTTTGAATAGCCAAGATCTGCACGCATCGTTTCACAAGCAGAAATGATTTTTGAAAAAGATCGGATTTTGAGCAGATCTTTGAAAAACTAGTTTGGATCTTGGAAGGATTTAGAAATGATTGCACTTCTCTACACCCTTTTAAGTTTCGTAACAAACCTTTTTTTAGAGAGAACATGCTATAAAACGAGTGATATCTACTAATGCCGATAACGTCCTCCAGTCAAAAATTCTTTCCAAATGTCAGAGAAGAAAATCTCATTTGCGGATAGAAATATGCAACTTTGTACGCTCTTTGCAGCTAGCAATATGAGAACGCTTGTATTAGCTAAGGTCGAATTTCGCTGTTCTGGCACCCCTAAAAACGCTTCAATCCAGAACTTATGACCGAAGAAACACCGTATTCGAAATAATTTTTTCATCGGGTGACAGGGATCTTTACATACCTTTAGTAGGACTATCGATTGCATATAGTCAAACCTTCCCGGCTTTTAGCTC